GTTAAAAATTTTTTGTTTAAAAAAAATATCGAGGATAATAATATTGTGTTTTGTATTGCTTTAACAAGTATTAAATTTTGTAAACATTATGTTGCATTTTCTGTTCCTCATTTCAATGGCCTTTTCTGCATTAATATTATAAGAACGTATTAAAAAGTCAAAGGATGCCTTTTTTCACGATAGTGAATACTCTTAAATGAAAAGTGTAAATGAGAGAATGTTGACTGAGTAAAAGAATAATTATTAAAATGTGAAAACTCAATCGTATTATCAAATGAGGTTAGCAGAATATTCAAAGTCTCATTTTCTCTAGATGTTCTACAGAAATATTCAGAGCATGATTCAAGTGACAACTAAAAACATTGAAATGATAAGTCTAATATATAGTTTACATTAGTAATGAAGTTTTCTTTGTTCATAATATTACATACTATTTAGAGTGCTTAGTGTTACATCTCGATAAATTAAGAAAATAAATTTCTTTTTTTTTTTTGAGATTTTTTTTTTGAGATTGAAGAAAAATTTAAAATATTCTTTATTATTTATATCGTTTAACTGTTAAATGTATCGAAACATTGTGAATTTAATATTGAAAAAAATTGTTCATAGAAATTATTTAATTACTAATTAACTACTTAATCATACGATAAAGGCATTTTATTCGTATTTTATTTTAAGTTTGAATAAATTTTATAGTGAAATCGTTTAAAAATAAATATTATTGAATATCATTGTTAAAAAAAGGTAAACAAATTCGATTTTTTTTTCTAATTTTTTTTTTTTTTTACCAAGACATCCTCTATCGTTTGTTAATTTTAATAATTTTGAGCTTTGCATATTCCGTGCTTAAATATTTCATTAACACATTATGAATTCGTTTAAGTGATTTTAATTTTTTTTTTCCCTCAATAATCATGACTTTTTAAACGAAATGAATAGTATTTAAGAAATTTTCAAACTATTTTCGAAACACGTAAACTTGAAAAATAATCAGGTCGCTTACATTAACTTATTATTTGTACACTTTTTTGTTTAGAAATCTATAATATATTCTAATTTTTATCCTCTTATTACATTATGTTTCATTATTTCAATATATTCGCATAAAATTTTAGGATAAATAGTCTAATTTGCAATGTTTATTTTATACGGATACTTTTAATAAATATTTTAGGTACTTTTATATCGAATAAAGTAATATTATATGATCCTATAGTATTTTTAATCTTGTGCTATGTTTTCAGGATTATCCCTAATACACAGCATTCAAGAACTATCTTTGCCTTGTATAATTTTCATCACGTTTATTACCTTCGCTTTCGATTAGCAAATTAAATTAAAAGAAATTAAGTCGTTGAATCGAGAATACGAGCCACCAACAACGGCCCACAATTATTATAATCTTAAACGTACATATATTTACTTGAAGAAGTACGTGCGTAAAGAAATTAGTATATAATAAGAAAATAGCGATTCTTCAGAAATTTGTAATCGTTAATCGGTCGTATAACTCAAGTTTGCATAGCAATCCAATTCAACGATTATTAATAGTCTGTTGAAGGAGGCGAAACTAGTCAACAAGCAGTAAAGGACAAGAATTAATTATTAACTTCATTTATGCATCGTACCAGACGTGCGCTAGTCATAAAGTGCAAATAATATATACGATTCTCGGCTTGTGTATGTACCAACGTATATGCATGCATATTTTATTTGCGCGCACATCCCGTTCGCAGATTTTTCGACTTAGTCCGTGTTTCACGGCCAACGTTTAGGCTCGATTAGGAACATATTGTCGTTTGCCTTTTTCCTTTGTTCAATTTTATTTTACACCCTAAACAAGCATTTCCATAACGTACGATAATGCTTGAGTGCTAGCCTAATTATGATATTACGATGGAATACAGTTATTTTTGCACGTCTCGCTTCAGAACGTTGAAACCTAACTAATACCTATCATATACGCTTTTCTAATAAAATAATATTATGCGTAACTGAATATTAGTAAATAAAATTTTTTTACGATAGTATTCCATTGTATTGTAATGGACATAAAAATTACTTATTAATTACATCAATGTGTATGACAGTTAATGAGAATTGAGAAAAATTGATATTAGTTGAAATGTAATATATTTTTTAGATTTTAATTTATTTCGAATATTAAAGATTTTTGGTAAAAATTTAAATATTAATTGAACTAAAAAGATATATAATAATAAATTAGTGCTTTATTAACGTGAATTTTATTAACAACAACTTTTCAATGTTACTTTAATCTCTAAAATTATATTATTTTTACACACGCGCACACACCTACAATAAAAAAAATTTTCCAATTTTTGTAATAGAATTTCATCGAAATAGCCTTTGTTCCAATATATAATAAATATGTAATAAAAATATTGAATAGTATTAACTAATAAATTTACACTATGAAATTGCGTAGTTGCCAACTATGAAATGATTATTATTATATTCCATGTATAGTCGGAAGAAAATTAATTGTTTCGTTCATATTATATCATATATATATATATATATATATATATATATATGTAATATGTATTACATGAATATAAAATATTATGTCTTACAAACTTGTTTCAAGTTCAATCTAAGTATTTTGCGTATTATACAATAAAATTATTTTAAGTATCAACAGTCAAATAAAGCATACACATATCTAATATCACTTATTGCATTTTTCTAGACACACGATTCTGAAACGAGTCGTTTATCATATATTTTTCATCGTTTCTACGTTCTCTTAAAATCTCCATATTCTTCTTTCATTTACTTTATTTTAATAATACATCGATATTCGCAGACGTCGCGATAATCTTATGGCAGCTTTTCAATCAGAGCTGGATAAAAAGTAGTTGTTGACAGAAGAATTTGTTAATATATATATATATATATATATGATAGATAGATAAAACTTTGACAGATAGTTTGTAGTTAATGTTGAAAGTTAATCTTATCGAATACCCTACCAAATTTTACTATAAAATCAATACCAAAAAAACTTTCTGTTAATATTTTTGTAGCCAATCAGAAAGTACCTCTTAAACTGATTATTTTTAAAACATCTTTTATATATTTAATTAATGCACAATTCTAAACACATTTTTTGCAAAATAAGTGACTATTTGTAAATATTCAAATGGTTAATAGTTTTTCTTCTTAATTATATAATACCAACTAGCATTTCAATGCAAATAATTTCTAATAATCCTGATAATTTTAAGAAAATGAATATTTTAAATAATTTATAAACTGACTTATATTATAATTTTACATTATTTTCTAAATATATTGCATATTAATTATGTAACACGTTTGTAATGCTAAATTCATTAGAAATATGAATATATATGAAATAAACACATAAAAGATTGTTTGAAAAATGTGTCGTAAATTGTTTAATGATACGAAAGTATCAAAATATATGTGCGTATAATTAATCTTGTTAATTCTTTATGTATTAAAATTTTTCTATGTGAGTTTGTTGATACAAATAATTAGAATATAATTATAATAAATATTAACGAATAAGATTAAATGAATTTAAACGATAGTGGAATGTTCGAATTCTTTTATTGCATGATAATTTGAAATTGAGTATTTATTTAGCATAAAACATATTATTTATTTTATTTGTCGAAATTTTATACTACTATGATCATTCAGTATGTAAGGCGGCAAAATTATTTAACGAATAATACTTTAATATGTAATGTATATGATGAATTGTTTGAAAAAAAAAATAATTTTTGCCAAACATGCTAAATATATGTGTGTGTGTGTGTGTGTGTGTGTATGTATGTGTCGAAGTAAAAATTCTTCTGTCAAAAAATACATTATTACAATCCTATCTGTTATTAAATCAATTATAACAATAATCGAATACTTTCGACATATGTATGTTTGTATCGCTTTATGCTTATGTGACTTACAGTAACAGCTAAATGTCATATATGTTGTTCAAAAATGTTATTTAATAAATACATAAAGAAAGGGCCTTCTGCTCCTTTATACACACCTGGACAATTTTTCATGATACATAAAACTGGCCCCTGATATATAGATATATAACATATTATCAATGCAAGTATTTTAAATGCCTTTCATACTATAAGGAGAATCCGACGATATATATTGAATAAAAATATTTTCAAATTAGTAAATAAATATTTTCAATATCTAGACAAATGATTTTGATAAGACATAACATGATAGTTAATCTATATTATGCGAACATTAAAATCTCAAATTGAATTCCTCGATTAGTTGAAAGTACTTGTTCGTGGATAATATTTTTATAATAAATATTCTACTACGATTCATGACTTTGTCGGTCAATTCATTTAAATATAAAATTAATGCGACAAAAATTGAATGAAGATTTATATTACACAAAGTAAATATATAAATATTTTAAAGAATAACTAACAAGTGTATATATAATTCGATCGAATTTTCACGAATGAGAATTATCGAATTTCGAATGATGATGAAAAAAAAAAAAAAAAAGAAAAAAAGATTGAATTCCGAAGAAATTAGTATTATTTTATGTATATGTCCGTGGATGAATTACGAAAAGTCAAAGAAAAAATTTCATCTAATTTAGCTAATCTAATTGATGGAAATTCGAATACGAAATTGCTGGAAAAATTGAGGAGCTATCGGCAATAATTTAGTGCCTTAAGTAGTTTAAAAGTCATTTAAACAAAGCAAACACCGGCAAATCAAATGATGCTACTACTTTAATTAAGTGGTCGGTGGAAAATCTTAGAATGTCGTGAAAAATAACATTGGAAATTCTTATTATCGGCTGCAAGGCGTCTTTAGTTATTTTCTTTATAATTTCGCTCACTCCTGCTAGTGAATACATAATGTCGTTACATCGTATCGGCGCTGCCGTTCCTTCTCATTAACATATGAGCGTCTGGTCATGACCTTGGAACTTCTTTTCGAAATTTCTCTCTCTTCGTCGCTTCTTATCCATCAATTTCCCATAGTTGCCAGCGGTGCCTCACAGCACGTAGAATATCCAATAGACGGCGTTGAAGAGCATAAAGCTCACGGGGAAAATGATTCGCGAGTATTTGTCGATGAGGTTGACGTCCTTGATTTTCGGCATCGACGCCTTCAGGACCGACGCGCCACGGCGAATCGCGTGTAGAACCTGCAAAATCATTGCGTTCATGCATTTCTTTATCATGCGATTATTAGTCTTGCTTCTCGTCACTGTCATTACACACACGGTTATGGACCCGAGGTCAAGAATATTTTTGTAATAGATCGTTTGGCTTATTATCGTTGAGCTTGCGAAGAGCTTCGTTATCGAATGAAATGTAAAATTGGGAGTTAATGACGAATCCGAGGAGAATAGGGATTTCACTTCAACAATTCACTTATCAATTGATTTTAATCATATATATTTTATATTATATTATATTGTTGCTAAAGGCACTCGACAAGCAAATCTTTAAAAGCCTTAAATCCACGATTAATTTACATTGCAAGCGCCATGAATTTTATAATCGCGCGACTTTTCGATTAATTTTAGATCTTAAGAGTTGCATGTATTAAACGCAGTAGGTGACAAAATATAATATAGACGGATAATAGGGAACGAATTTGGTTGGCTAAGATTTTTGACTCGAATTGAAAAAATTCCCATCTACATTAGAACACGAAATGGCAAGTCTATGAGGAGGGGAAGTGGCGCCCTAGATTCCCACGAGATGAATGGGGTGAGGGGTGAAATAGGGCTTCAATCGATCGCCAGATAGGGAGGCGTCGTGGGGAGGTGATTTTCTAGTTACCTTGGGTCTTTGCTGGCGCACACCCCGATATCGTAGTCCAGGAGTCTTGACGTGTGCTCCATAGACCGGCGCTCGACATATCCTGAAGCTCGGTGGAAACTTGGCGGAGTCCTGCTGGAGCTGCTCCCGAGCCTGGGACCCGGGTGTGCCAGCGGTGCTCACCAGGCCCGAGCGGTTCCTTATACTCGGCAGTGGCGACAGACGCAGATCCTGGAGCTCGATTATGTCGGCGTCGGTCGAGCCCGGAAATGGAGAGCTCGCCTTGCTGCCTGTCGATCGAGATATCGAGCATTTATTATTGTGCTCGTCCGACTGATGGACTTGAATATTGGGATCTCGGGCTCCCTTCACTCCGTATAAGAATAGAGTCATCCACTCTTTTTTTTTTGCCGCTCTTACGTTTTCCAGATTCTTTTTTTTCTTCGCATTTACACACGTACACTATACTCGCGTGATTATTTCAATTTTCTATTTCGATGCTATGATTGTCAATGCGATGAAGGTATTTTTGAAAAAAGGTAGTAGTACTTTATATGTTACAACGAAAGTCGAGCTTTTTCTTATTGTTTTGTTTGTTGTTGTTGTTGTTGTTTTTTTTTTATTTTTTTTTTGTTCGAATAACTCGAGCTTAGTGATATACTCGTATAATGAAACTCCCTTATCGTCTTATTAAATCAATTACATTCACAAGGATTTATTCTTGCCTTTAACGATTTATACTTTTATATCGACACTATCGTCGACATTACATTAAATGTTAGTTTAATAATCATAATGACAACAATTATCGCGATGAATGATCATACGATATCGCTACGAGTTATTCTATAGTAGAAAATTGTCATTGAGCGTTAAAAACGACGTGCAAATTGATTAAAGTTGCCACCTGACAAATTGATGACACGAGATAAATTGAAGAATTTGGTAATAGAAGGTGTAATAATGATGAGCGAAATAGAGATACGGGCCTTCCTCAACAATCCGCAAAGGCGTCAATGATTTTCGATGAAATGTTAAAGAAAATGGAAAGATTCGCAGTATTTAAAAGCATTGCAGCGCAAAAGAAAGCAAAAAAGAAATTGACAATAAAGGTAATCAGTTGGCGGCTTTCGCCTCTTATTCATAGGCCTTAGCGCATTCACTAACCAGTCCTTGAAGAACAGATGGTCCTTTTATCCTCCGTCTCCTTCTTCTTGCTCTTTTTTTTCGCCCGTGCGCCCCAATACGTATAATTAACGGCGGCATACTCGAGCAGAGCAGCGAATACAAAGACGAAGCACATCACCAAGTAAATGTCGATGGCTTTCACGTAGCTGATGCGTGGCAAAGAGCTCCTCACCCCCGTCGATATCGTCGTCATTGTCAGCACGGTTGTTATGCCTAAAGCAAGATAGAAACGCGAAACCGGAGCGACAATGAATGGGACTGCTCTTGTTTCTAAAAAAACTTCTCTCATTTTAAACGTAACACACGCCAGTTTCGCTTGAATTTTATTCACATTTTTCCAGCACAACATACCACAATATTTAAGCTTATTGCTCTCGCTACTGTGCACACGTGTTTCTTCAAGTAACCGCGCGTGCGTTATGTTTTTTTTTTCTTCTTACATCTACTAAATATTAAGAAATAATAAACGATGGAAGTATGTATGGCATTGTATAGTGGGTTGTGAAATATTTTTTTTTTTTTTTTTTTTTTAAACAAAATTCTGCACTGACAAACGTCTATAAATAAACATGGACGATATTTATTTATTTATTTATTTATTTATTTATTTATTTATTTATTTATTTATTTATTTATTTATTTATTTATTTATTTATTTATTTATTTATTTATTTATTTATTTATTTATTTATTTATTTATTTATTTATTTATTTATTTATTTATTTATTTATTTATTTATTTATTTATTTATTTATTTATTTATTTATTTATTTATTTATTTATTTATTTATTTATTTATTTATTTATTTATTTATTTATTTATTTATTTATTTATTTATTTATTTATTTATTTATTTATTTATTTATTTATTTATTTATTTATTTATTTATTTATTTATTTATTTATTTATTTATTTATTTATTTATTTATTTATTTATTTATTTATTTATTTATTTATTTATTTATTTATTTATTTATTTATTTATTTATTTATTTATTTATTTATTTATTTATTTATTTATTTATTTATTTATTTATTTATTTATTTATTTATTTATTTATTTATTTATTTATTTATTTATTTATTTATTTATTTATTTATTTATTTATTTATTTATTTATTTATTTATTTATTTATTTATTTATTTATTTATTTATTTATTTATTTATTTATTTATTTATTTATTTATTTATTTATTTATTTATTTATTTATTTATTTATTTACTCTGTGTTCATTATATTCGTTTTAATGTTAAGACAATTTTCAAACATATTTACATACTCCAGCATTGCTTCATTATGATTTATAGAACAAACTGGCTATTTTTAGATAATTAAAAAGTAGCGACAGACTTAGCAATAGTATCGATATAAAAAAATACTTTAAAATAAAATATGCCTTCGTTAGATTAATATGGAGAAAAGTTACTTTACTCTTGTACTACTTTAACGAGCCTTTATTTTAAATGCCAATGCACTAGTTGAATTTATAATTCACCAATATCATGAAATATCTTATATACTTTCATAAATGTGTTTACCATATGATATTAAGTTTATTAATTATTCTTATTTACATGTATAATTAGGACGGATATTAAGGCAATTATAATTAGCTGTCGGGCCAAATCCATTATAAAATTGTCAGGAAAATAAATAATTAAGAACGTCGGTGTTAATAATCCGTAATGGCATGTTGTATAATATGTTTAATGCAACTTATGTCAATTATCGGCCCAGCAACTACATTAAGTTTGAAAATACAAAAAGTTTAATAGGCTTTTAATGCACAGAGTGTTTTCGAAACTTTGGAATTATATTCAAATTGTAATAGCTGCAAACGAATGACTCTGATTCTTCTGTAAACTTCTGCTTTAATTAAGACATTTGCATCATAAATAAGTTTAATTGAAGCTTTCGTAACAAAGATTTAATTACAGTATTTGTGCTCGAATTGAAGAAACATTTACCCTAAATATTGTTTTGATGGCGTCAACGCAAAATAAATGTATTTCAATGATTGCATTCAACTCATAATAAGTTTAATTTCAATTCCCGAGAGAAAAATACAATTGTACTCAAAGTCCGTAAAAGATTTTTATAACGATATTCAATAATTCCTATCTTTTAATGAAAAAGATTTTATGAAAACGAAGAAAGATGGCAGTTACTACCTTACGTCATAATCTATTCAATAGACTGAAATTTATCATCGAACAAAAGCGTCCCGTACAATATTTTTCTCTTCTAATCATACTAATACGTATATTTGCAATTACTCGATAGTATCCGTAATTTGTTCCAACTTAAAAAATATTAAAGGCCGCCACAATTTAGATTTAGGAAAAGTATATCGCAATAATCACGAGGTTCATTAACAACGGCCTTCCCACCGATACTGTAATTTTTTCTTTTTCTTAACAATACAAAGCTGCAAAATAGTCGAGCGAGAGCCCTTTGTCAAACGGTAAATTGCAGTAACTGAAATGGATCTCGAGGACAAAAAAAAAAAAACAAAAAAACAAAAAACAAAAAAAAAATCGCGTGGGCGGCGGTTAGGAAGACCGCGACGGTGGTGGTAAAGAGGGAAGAAAGGGCGCGAAGAAAGAAGTAATCTCGCGTCTCACCAAGGGCGACGCGGGCGCTGGTAGCCTCGTGATTGATCCAAAAGCTAACCCAGCTGAGCATCACGATAAGGATGCTGGGCAAGTAGGTCTGGAATACGAAGTAGCCAATGTTACGCTGGAGCTTGAAACTGAGGGAGAGCCTCTGGTAGATGCCGGTGGCGAGCTTCTCCTTGCGGTCGTTCGTCTCGTAGCCGATTATCGTAAACTGGGGCAGTTCGGCCTCGTCGACGCCTCGCACCGGCGTCTCCTTCCAGGACATCACCACATCCAACACCGTGTAGCCATCTGCGCCGATAATCGAGAACCCCTTTTTCTCTTTTTTCTTCTCCCTTTCGTCTCGACCCCTTTCGCATCAGCCCGAGGAAGAGGTAGAGGTTTCGTCGCGAAAGCAACTCTATTTTCGTTATGCGAGTGTCGAGATACGCATATTTTCCCTGTACTCGGCCCTTCCTTATTTCGCCTGATTTTATTTTACTTGTCCGTGCTTAAAAGCTTGTGGTAATTTTATCGCAACGGCTTTAAATTTTCATCCGGCCGAATCATTAACCATGAGAATCGGCATTTCAAATTTCCAATTTTAGCCAATAAACATCACATGCACATAGCCTTAGCATTTTATACTGAGAAGATTTTTCTTTAAATCAGACTTTAAAAGTCCTTCGCATTTGCAATGGAATATTTCCAAGTAGTAAATTACACCTTCGTAGTAGCTCTCATTAATGTTAAAAGTACTTTGGTTGATTAGTTTTGAGGATGAAATTATATTTGCCCATTTTTGTAAATTGAAATCAAATGAAAATTATAATGATCGTTTATAATATTTATCTCGCGAAATATTTTGAAATATTAATGAGCTAGCATTAATTATTAAAAATGCATTGAGAATTTTATTATCACTACTACCTCATTATGACGAAATACCCTTATTTATTTTATTTGCAACAATGAAATCGATCGAGCGAACACTTATATTATTGGCTTAAAACAATTCTGAAACTATGCTAAATTATCAATGTCAATTTAAACTTTTTGGATACGGATGGTAATGTAATTGAAATTCTACTAGGGATAATTTTCATTTTTCAATGTTAAATGCAATAGCAGCATAAATTACAAAAGTTGCATAAAATTTTCAATTCTAATCGAGTTAAGCACAGTAGCGACAAATTAACAATATGTCCATGTACCTCTACTAATGGTGTCCATGTTATTTTGCAAATTATTGTTTTATTAATAACCGTTAGCTTTTATTAATAATCATTGAATATTACGTATTACAATTTATTAAAAGGAAATCGTGAAGGTACGAGGCGACGCTCGTCCTATTCTCTGCCTGATGGACCTTCGCTCTTTGCGGTAATTCGATCCGCGAGCAAAGCTATAGGTTAGCCACATCATAATGAAACGAATGAAATGGATTATTGTGGTTGTGGTTTTGTTTGAATAATGTCGATGAAACTAGTCTAATCGAGTAGCGCGCCGCATGTATTGTCCACTTTTATCGAAATACTCTTATGTCGATTCTTCGTTCCCGCAGCTCGATACGATAAATTATTAAACGAACGATTACGTAAAAATCGCTTAGGCATTCGTTCGATCATCATTTCCTTTGATAGATCGAGCCATCATAGTTTATGAGTCAATTCGCGAAAGTATATAACGATGAATTCTAGAAAAGAACATTTTTTTTTCATTCAATCTTTGTTAATCACTACAATAAACAGAGCAGCGTCGCTTTGTTCGTTATCGTCGTCTAAGCAAATCGCAAATTTCAAGCTGAATCTTCACAATTGGCCGAAAAATTCCAATAAAAATAAAACGATTATTAATTATTATTATTTATTTTAGTTTCACGTTTACATCGAGCATCTATAACTCATGTGGGACAGAAGCATTTAAGAAGACGACGTTATGACTTATATTTTTTTTTTATTAAACACGAAAAATGTTGTCACTTATTTTTTTCATAAAGTTAGTGAGTGTTTCTCAGAGATACGGATTATTAAAGGAGTTTTACAACTTTTAAGACGAAAGTAATCTGGCAAAAAAATCGAATAAAATACGTATTAATAATTAAAAGCATAAAAAATGATAATAATTTCATAATATTCGGCAAATAAATATTAAAGTTGTAAATAGAAAGAGATTAGTTTTATCTTTAATTGTGTAGAATTTTGTTAAATCACTCGATAGTAATTAGTTTTTTGAGACTTGTAGAAAGTGACTTTGACTAGTATGATACTTTTACTACTTTATATTAATATTTTCACCCTAACGTAACCATCAGCTTTTCTATGATAAGTGCATAGCATTTAAGGAAACTATTATTATTATTATTATGCTATTATTTTAATATCGTACGCACGACATTACTTACGCATTAACATAACAATACTAAAATATTATACATATAAATAATACATACGCATATATATATATATATATATATATATATATATATAAAGTACACGCGCGCGTTTGTACACATGCATGTATAATATATTGGTATTGTTATTGTATCTGTGCATGAGATGCGCGTATAGACTATTGTAATAATTAATGCATTACGGCAGCAACAGTCTCACTAGATGTTAAAGAGAAATTTCCAAAAGTTCATCGATGAAAATAGTAGCGTCGTTTTATTGATTAAAAATTATTTGACGTTAATTTTCTTGTAATTAAATACGAAAGCTGTAAAATTTTGAGACTATTGCTAATATGTTAAATATTTGTAATGCTCATTTAAAAATTTACTACTATCTCAACGTACCATCTCGGCGTTCTACATACTTCTAATTGTAACTTACACGACTACAAAACAATATTATAAAAAGCGTGCAATATCACGCGTCTTCTTGACATTCGCAGACTCGATTTACAACGAAAGAAAGAAGCCCGTATGAAATGTAATAATACTTATCGAAAGGTATTGCAATTGGATTTAATAATAAAATAATCGACTCTATAATTCTAGCATCGGGCGTATAATCGTTTCTTCGTACCACGGAAAAGGCCGTTCGTTGCGCAGAATAGGCAAAGTCGCCTCGCCAAGCACCTTGTTGCAGGCTCAAATTATATTCAATTATTCAGTCTTATAATAAATATCGATCCTTTAAATGCCACGATGATCGTTAGCGACCGATGCTATTACAAAAGCTAATGAGCCCAAAGGCGAAGTAGAGCTCGCGATCAAAGCAAATCATCATATTATATTAGAAAAATCCGAGCAAAGACGAGACCTCGTCCCACCCCACTGCTAATCATTTAATTCCCCAACTCTGTTGGCTTCATTGCAACAGGCAAATAAGTGAAAAAGCAACGTACAGCTCTCGATCTCCACGGTACAGTTCTGCGAGTCGAGGGGGTAGTAGTGCAGGTCCATCATGCACGCGAGGGTTGTGGTGAACCTCATGCCGTACGTCACCGATCCGTCACCAGCGAGGCGCACGAGTTTGTTGCGCTCCGTTACGTCGTGAAGGAAGCTGAAACGTGTTGACAGACAAAGGAGCTGTAGTCGTCGTCTATTCGTCTATTAGTCGCTAGGCTAATCGAACGAGGGGATTGGGTTGGGTTAATGTGGAAAATTGGCGTGGGTGCGTGATTGATGTGGAGACACCTCGATCGCGGCACTCGCGAGGGATGTTGGTAAGGTGCGGAGTTTTGGGAATTTTGGGACAATTTTTACTGACAGTCTCACTTCCGAAACTTGAAGATTTTAACTTTAGGAGCTGTGACGCGCCATCGTGGAGTGCAATTATTTAAGCCTCGCTTCTATAATTGACAGCTTGGCTCGGCATATCGCGATAATGACGAAGCAACTTTGATTGGATAGTTTGAAAAAATCACGCTGCTATTCACTGGCATTGTTTAATTTATGTAAAGATGAAAGAGGCTGGTAGTCCGAGTTAATTATATTGAAAATTGCAATTATCGCGGCATCTTTCGGTACCGGCAATAATGTCTTCAATAACATTTAATAATAATAGTAATAGTAATAATAATAATAATAATAATAAATAATAAATAATAAATAATAATAAATAATAAATAATAAATAATAATAATAACAATAATAAATAATAATAAATAATAATAAATAATAATAAATAATAATAAATAATAATAAATAATAATAAATAATAATAAATAATAATAAATAATAATAAATAATAATAAATAATAATAAATAATAATAAATAATAATAAATAATAATAAATAATAATAAATAATAATAAATAATAATAAATAATAATAAATAATAATAAATAATAATAAATAATAATAAATAATAATAAATAATAATAAATAATAATAAATAATAATAAATAATAATAAATAATAATAAATAATAATAAATAATAATAAATAATAATAAATAATAATAAATAATAATAAATAATAATAAATAATAATAAATAATAATAAATAATAATAAATAATAATAAATAATAATAAATAATAATAAATAATAATAAATAATAATAAATAATAATAAATAATAATAAATAATAATAAATAATAATAAATAATAATAAATAATAATAAATAATAATAAATAATTAATAACAATAATAAATAATAATAAATAATAATAAATAATAAATAATAACAACAACAACAATAAATAATAATAATAATAATAATTAGCGCGAAATTGAAGACAATTATTCATATTCAAGATTTGTATTCGTTCGTTTCGAGGAATTGGAATTCTTTATTTAGAAAAAATCTAATTCGTATACAGTTTATGCACAGTTTATGCATCTCCTTAGTTAAACGTTAAATTGAGTTAAGTTCCTTGTCATCTTTATTCTCCAAATTTACCTTGAGTTTACGTCCGTGGCCTATTTCCTTTAAAGAATTTTTTTTTTTTTTTTTTTTTTTTTAATATTACCATCTTATCTACATCTTCACCTACCTAAAGATCTTTTGCTCCCGAACTCTTCTATGAAAAGTCTTAACGCTTCTCGGTAATTTTCCACCTCAACCGAAAAAAAAAATATAATCTCAGTTTATGATTGCAAATTAATTAGTATAACTTATCCTATTGTTATGACCACTGTCAAACTTGTTTTTGTTTTTCATACGTCGAGTATGTTTCTTATTAACACTGATTATAAGCTTTATTTTTTTAAATTAGTTTTACTTTACTTCAAAAAAAAAAAAAAATGTTGACTCCAAGCGAATAAACTTATTCAGAAGAATAATTTTCCTACTTCAAATTTCTTTTCTATTTCATTTTCAATTAAACTGAAATTCTATTAAAAAAAAAATTCTATTCTAATTTCTAATTATTATCTATTTAATTTTCATTCTTAATACCCATTATATTGAATACGATATTCTGGTAATTGATTTTCTTTTTTTTTTTTTTTTTTTTTTTTTTTTTTTTTTTTTTATTATTATCATTTGATTACATAAATCAATAGTCAGTCAATTATTATGTATAATAATTGAAAATTCAAGTTTCGAAGTTATTTAACGATATTGCAGCACATTCATCGGTACTTTGAATAAAGCTTGAACGTCGAATTAAGGTAGATTTTAAAATTAAGATTAAATAAACCTTTACAAAGTTTTTAAACTATTTAGCGCAATATATTATATTCGTTGATTAAATTTAATGGAAAAAGTTGATGAGCTTAATTCGGTATTAAAATAGCAATTTATTGTTCTTAATAGATAAGTAATTACATTGTTAAAAAAAATTATAATTTTTTTTTTTCAATTCTATCGTTCATAAAAGATTTTCTATTTGACCTACATAGCTTAGAGAAGTTTTTAAATTTCATGAAGTAATGATACCGATGCTTACTTATATAATTTTATAGCTCGACGGTAATCGATAATCGAATCTTCATTTTCATTTGACTTATTTAACGTAAAAACTTGTTCAATATTAGCCTTACTGTGGACATTCTATCTATATTTTATAAAATTTAACATCAACTTATTATTATTCACATGATATATAAATCGTGACTTTCTATTGGATTTATAAATATTCCAATTTCAGGCGATAGATATTACGTGTATAATTAAATAATAGAGATAGACGTAATGTCAGTTGGGATATCAATTCTTTAATTACAAATTATTGGATTGCCACTTATTTACATATACAAGGGAATTTATTGTAAAATAAATTTTGTACACATTGCTAGTGGAATTGTACTTTCATCATTATTGACATATTAACGTATATTATTTTATATTATTAAAGCATGATTGGCATTCTCATTTTTAACGATTATCATACCCTCCAACCTATAAGTATAAATTCAAAATATTAAGTTGTTCTTTTCTTTGCGTATTTTACGTTCATTGTACCAATAATTGAAAACAATGTTCAAATGATTTAGATAGATTATTAACAAACGTAGAACGCAATTTTATTTATAAATGAATTTTCATGAGCAAATATTGTACATCCATGCTAAAGCGAATGCTTCTTATAATTTTACTTCTAAGCTTATAAACTAAATGTGAATTTGACGTAATTAAGGCTCGAAATCGATAAAAAGTCCTATTTATATGTTTATTTAGGCTGAAAATTCTTTGCGAATTGAAAGGATCGTTGCTCTACACCTTTCATTGTGCTTTCAAATTGCACGATTAGCCTTCGAACTAATAGAACTACAATTTCGATCGATTAACAAAGGCAATATTAGTAAAATTAATAATCAGCATCACTGATAAAATCGTACAATAATGACGACGCCGACGCGGGCGATAACAATGATAAGAACGATGACGGCCATCGCTAGAACGACGTGGACGACAATAACACTATCGACAGTAACAACAATAAATATCATAATAATAGGGACGTATAGGGGACGCGTGGGCGCGAATGATGGGCGGATAAGATAAGAAGTCTTAATCGAACGTCGAGAGGGATGATTGAAGATTGAGTGAAAATTTTGATAAAGCCGTGGGACAGGTAGAACAGCCGTTGCCGATAATCGAATAGCAGTTTGAAAGAGCCAGGAGGAAGATGCCCTATCGGACGAGCCCTTCCACCCATTGATCTAGGGCCGGTGGTGTGGCGGTGCGGTGGGGTGGGGTGGGGTGGGGGGATGGATATCTAGCAGCGCGAGGGGAGTAACGGGGTCAGGGTGCCGAGAAGCCAAGCGTTAAAGAGAACTGTTTTACATGAGCTCCGCTTAACCTACATTTTTTTCCCGGCCCAGTGCAAAAGAGGCTGTTTGAATTGATCCTCTTCTTCTCGCGTGCCTACAGCGCGGCGCACCCGAGGACAAGGAATCTTTGTAACCGGTGCACGTGCACGCGCATCCCCTCGCACTAATCGAGCTAGACTTGGACCGGTTTGGGGCAGGGGGCCGAGGACTATTGTCCCGTTGCGTGTAACAAGTGTCGCTATCCAGTGTCTTTATTTAATAAGGGACTGCTGGCCGTCGCCGAGCCCTCGTCTCTCCACTTTGCGTCTTTATATTCTCGTTCTTCCACACGCAGTTACTCTTCGGGAATTTCAATATCCTTTTGTCTTTAAGATTCCTACTTTTAAGGTTCGTCTTTGTTTTTTTTTTTTTTTTTTTGTTTTTTTTTAGTATAGTGGCGGGTGGTGGGGGGTCAGGAGAACTCGTGAACGAGGTAGATTGTGCGCATGTAGAATCGTTTTGTTGGGTGAGTTACAGGATTTTATAATGTTTTATAATGTTCGAGTGGAATCGATAAGGATGGAAGTTACCGTTTAGAATAGACATTAAATGAAATATCGCATTCAAATTTACAAAGAATTAAGAGTTTCATTACGATAAATAAAAGCTTCGTATTCATGTGGGTTTATCGATATTCTTTTTATTTATTTTTTTTTTTTTTAATTCATACTATAATACGAAAAAATTAAATTGCATTGATAGTTGAATAGAAAAAGAAAAAAAAAATAAATAAAAAACAAAGAAAAACAAGAAATTAAAATTACGATACGAATGAAATATATAAGCTGTGAAAAAATAGGGCAAACTTATTGATATTTAAAAAGAAAAAGACGATGAAAAAAATCACTACACTGATGACTTTGACTGATAGTCACTCGCTAAAACTGTCTATATTTGCTTGTATTTTCTGTTTCTTTGACATTTTAATTCCAATTTATCTTTAACACCTCTCTAGTCTTATAAATTCTTAAAAGATAATATCTACTCTGACAATATGTTTGCTCGATTTAGATAAAAATATTTATCCTAAAATAATATCATTTTAGGAATAAAATTATTCAATAACTCACCTATGTTTGTCATTTGCAAAAAAGGTGTCCGGCACCCAGATTTTCTCGGCAAAATCTCCACTTAGAGTGAGAATCTCCTTTTCGTGCGAGAAAGCCAGCCTCTCGTCTTTCCAATATTGATTGAGGTACATCGTTATCGTGTAATCCTGTAAAAAAAAAACAAAAAAAAAAAAACAAAATCATACACGGCCCTATATAAATGAATAAAATTGATTCGTAAATTAATTTTTGCATTCGAGCAGCATTAAGTGGAATCTGATGGCATACGAGTATTTTCTACCTGTTGGAAATGCAAATTTCGTTTACATATTGCATAAATACATGTACATTATATAATCAAAAATTGTTTAAATATACACGATGTTAAGTGGAATTTATTGAAAATACATTTATTATTTATATTTGTATTAGGCATTAAAAAATGCATATAATATCTTGCGGTCGTCAATTGATTGTATGTCGAATATAAAAAAAAAAGACTTGCCAAATATTCATTTTCGAAAAATACAATAATTACAGGCTTAACATTCAAATAACAAGAAAAGGGTACACCTATGGCTTATATAATATTAAAAATTCCGTGAAATAATAAAACTAAATGTGTATGTTTTGTAATTTCAAAATTTGGTTCAGACGGAGCGCACACCCACAGACAAATATTCAAACAAATATACAAATACAAATATTCATTCGAGTTACAAGTTCACATTTGCAATTCATTCATTCAATATTAAAAGATTTTAGTAAACACAACTTATAATTACTGTGAAAGTTGAAGAAATTTTCTAAAATTATTTTTATAGATCAATGTTTTAAGAGATGATGTCGATGAATTCGCTTAAATTTTATTTCGAAACAAACGCCACCTTACGACAAAGTTACTTTATTATTTAAAATGCGGATTTAAAATTTTTCAATACATAAAAAAGATAAATTGAAATTCCAATAGAAGCTCCATTTGTCATATAAAGGTATTTAATTTTTGTGAAAATATAAAAATGACTCGAGATATGATGAAGACAATGGGCTAATCACAATAATTACCACCAAAAATTGAATTTAATAATATTTACTCGGTCGAGCCTTGAAACGATAGAGCAATGTAACATTTATCTAATCGTTATCCTCCTATCTATAATATGTAACGCCACCTGATCTCTTTACTTACGCTTACACAGATACTTTAAAATCATGTTATTATAGAGCTCAATGACGTCACATCGAGCAAACACTATAGTTATACAATGAGTAGCTCGTAAAGCCATCAACAAAAGAGATAATCATGTTCCGTAACAAGGCAAATGCGATTTCGAAGAGGCTCGCATCTATTTTGCGATAGCTTCGATGGCTCATGCGCAATATCTTGAACGTAAAGATGCTCTTTCATTTATCATCTTTTTTTTTTTTTTTTTTTTTTTTTTTTTTTTTTTTTTTTTTAGCAGCTGCATATCCTCTTGGCAGACTTAAGACGCTTAAGACGGTCCCCATATTGTCATACAACCAATGGTTATAGACGAAAAGATAGACGGGAATAGAGGGCGATAGAGAGAGAGAGAGAGAGAGAGAGAGAGAGAATAGGAAAAGCGGGCGGTGTTGAAGGATGATGATGATGAGGAGGAGGAGGAGGAGGAGGAGGAGGAGGCCGGAGACGGCTTTATCGTCGTTATGCTCGGAATGATCGGTTTTGCAACTGCAGTCATATCGCATTCCCGGAGGGCAGCTGACACAGTATTCTAGACGTAGATATAGACGAGCGATTCCACCTTGGCTCAATAAATGACGGAGTTGACGAAATCGAGAGAGCAAATCGACTCGGAGGCATCAATGAGAGGCATTTTGACGGACGCGGGGGATCGAGGGGACTGATAGGTCACGAGGGATAGATAATTGCTTTTGACGAAGCCTCGCGATGTTATGTACGATACATCGTATTTTCATAATCGAGTAGGCAATAAAATTTCGTTTCATTATCAAAGTTTGTCAATTTACGGCCATGTTTAGAATAAAAGAAAACATTCGCCTCGTGCAATGATATTTGCGTTTCATTTTCGATTATTTTACGCTTTTGTTTGGCGATTTTTAGCGATAAGCTGATTTGCCAGCAAACATTATGGTAATGGATGCCTACAATGTCGTTGATCTGTTTTTGAAATATTTGCTATTGAATTTGTTTTCAAAGTATTATCGCGCCCAAAAGTTATTAACATATGGCTTTGCACCCTAATTGAAACTCTCGCGAGTTAAACATGGAAATCAAATATTTTTCAGAGGACTATTCGTTCTTCTTGTGATTTTCGTGGAGCAAAATTGTAGGAGAAAATGGTTGTAATCGAAAGTGACTTATGAGATTATAAATTCCGTATTATTAATGACGATAAGTATAATATTCAGAAATGTAAAGTTTTACGTATATTTATAATCACCCTTTACTTTTATCATAAATTAACATAGAAGAGTGGAAACTCAGTTAGGGGTCTTATTATCTAAATAGTGTAGAACGAGGTCGAAAGATAAAAATAATCTCACTAGTAAAGAATTTAGATAATATTGTATTATTTAATAATTTTTAAGAGAAATAATATAGAACGTATTTTTCAATTATATAATAACATTTTTTCTCTCTCTCTTTTTTTTTTTTAACGCATTATAAAATTCATGCCTTATTTCATGGTTTTCAATCTTGGCTGAATCTAAAAAGTGCGAATATCTATTTGAAAAAATTAAAGTTATTTACAATACAAACGACACATAGTAATTTAAATAAAATAGCATATCTAATTAAATTAACAAACTTTCTTTTAAACAATTGTTACTTTTCAAGCATCGTTAAAAAAAAAAAAAAAAAAAAAAAAAAACTTTACCTTCTTATGTCGATCCTTTCTGCTTTTATTACAAAATTAACATATACATTTAATAATGTTTCTAGAAGAATTAATAAAGGAAAGAAACATAGTCTATACATTTTAATCCAATATATCGATGTTGTTATTCTCAAGTTTTCATTAATACTGCCTCTGACTCATCATAGATCTCAATGTGCTACATTACAAGCAATTAATGTTTTTTAATTGTAAAAGTAGATAGGAGACAGTTTTTTAATATTCAATATTTTCGATGAAAAAGGTATTAACTTTAAATTCGAAAGATTTCATTCAAATTTTCATATAAATTAGCAAATATTAGAAAATTTTACAATATCAATAGTTTATCAACTAAATAACATAAGATATTAATAACTTGAACAAATTAGTACATAATCAATAAATTTCACCTTCATGTACGTGTACTATTATTTATTAATATTTATTTATTTATTTATTTATTAGGTGATAGTTTAACTGAATTAGAGCGCGTTTGTTTGTATATGAACATCTTAATTATTTCAAAGCTATTTCAATTTCATTATTATGAATTTTATATTATATTTTTATGCGATAAAGAAAATAGTGAAAAAAAAAGAAAGAAAAGAAAAAAGAAGAAAATTCAAGTTCTTTCGTTTGTTTTTTTTTTTTTTTTTTTTTTTTCGAACAAATGATCAAATACACAAAACTAACTCATAACTTTAGAGCAAATAGTATTGCAATAATTATAATTAAATGGTCTAAATAATAAATCTAATAATTTTCTATAAATAAAGGTAAAAACGAGATTAAAGTTTCATTGCGACAATAATGAATTCGAGAAAAATGATAATCCATATATTATAAATTCAAGAAATTCATCGAGCTAAATTAAAAATTAATATGTCAGTATTATTTTCTCATTTTAACCATACATAGAATTTTAATTATAAATTATTTTAATAATTATATTCTATTATGCTTATGTATTCTAATTTGCGAAAACATAATGATAAATTTAAAAAAAAAAAAAAATACATAATAGAGTCAATTATCATTATAATAAAACTTATCAACGCAGTATTCAATGAGAATTATTAAATCAAATGTCCTTAATCTTATTGTGTCTAATTTATTGCCTTTCAAGAAAAAATGCAAATTGATATGTTTTATATGATTTTTAAAATTACAAACTGATAATGAATATTATTGATCTCCGATATAATTATACATGAAGAATATTGTAAAGAATGTCGTTGATAATATTGAATTGAAAACAATATATATCAGGAATAATTGCTTTTATTTGAGAGAAGAAAATGTTTCGATACTTACGACAAAGTTCTACGGAAAATGGACAAGAAAATAAAGCTTAATATAAGAATGAGGAATGCGCGAAAACTTTTTCAAATATAATCATAAGAAGCTGAACAATTGGTTGTTGTTGTTGTTGTTGTTCTTTTAAATTGAGTAGCAGAACATGTGCTTAAAAATAAGTTGATTCAAAATTCGTGGCTAATGAAAGTGAATTAAAAATAATTTTACAACACAACAATAATTTTTTACGGTCTAATTGTTAAATAATAATTACTACAATTTTTTTTTTTTTAAATAAATAATATTTTTTTTTGAATTTTGAATAAAAATTTAACATTAAACAAGAGAATTCTTTTGTCTCCATAAAGTAATAGTCAATAAATCTAATGTAATTTTAATACATTTCAAATCAAAGTCGATAATTTCGTTTTTAATTAGGTACAAAGCAACTTAGTAATAAAGGAAATAAAAACAAAATGAAAATAAAGACAAAATATCTAATGTCTTCGTTTTTGAAATTAAAAAAAATTAATTTTAATGTAATATTAGGCTGAAAATTACATGTCGTTGATGGAAATTAATTACACACGTTTATCATTTCTTTTTATTAGTAATATATGATAAACATTCGATAATTAGCAATGGCATTTAATTATAACTCTAACAGTAACGACACAACATTCAATGAGCAATACATAAGCAATACACTTTCAACCACCTATTACGTATAATCTATATTATTCTTTACAGAATGTATAATGTATATTTAACTCACCATATTGACTTCAGAAATAGCGTCGAAACTTGCTATCGTTAGATCCATTTCAACGAACAAGGGTTCTCCTTTAAAAATATTTGCGTCATTAAGAAGTCATAATAATAGAATAATATTCATATTATTTCTTATACATAATATCATTGTGAATCAATCTTTCTTCTTTATACTTTATTTTTTTTTTTTTTTTTTTTTTTTTTTTTTTTTTTTTTTTTTTTTTTTTTTTTATAATTATTATAAATATATTACATTTAATCGTATTATTTTGACTATTGACTCGCTGATTAAAAGGATTGAGATCGTAATAATATTTTAATTGCTTTTGATTTAATAAATTAATCCGTCGTATAAATAACATAATGGGTATAATACTATGAGATTTTCATTGCCTCGAGACCATTGTTGATTAGATCATTAGATCATTAGATCATTAATGGTTTTTAATATCTGTATAATAAATATAGCATTTCTTTACATATACCTAACCAATTTATTGAATGTATAAATTTATATGAATTGGTGCATTGTTTTTAAAGTTTTTTTTTTAATAATAGCGATGATAAAAAATCATAGTCAGAGGACGTGCGAAATAAATTGTTAAAATTATTCAATAATGTTTTTAAAAATGTCATTTTTAAATGATGAAAAATGACATTTAGGCCTAGTCTGCAGCTGCAGCGTTCATATTTATTTACGAAATAGAAAAAATATTATGAATTATTGATTTTTGCGATGGATTCTGCAGTAAATACTTTGTCTATATTTTATTAAAAAATGAATTTATACGAAAGAACGATATATTCGAACAAAGTATTTAATCATTTTTCACGATTTCTTAAAGAACTGTTTTATTATTATAATTATTATTATTATTGTTGTTGTTGTTACACACACACACACACGCGCGCGCGCGCGCGCGCGTACATATATCATTAAATATCTATAGCATGTTAAATTTTATATCATGTAATATATATTATTAATAAAATAAGCCGCTAATGAAAGCCTTTCACATAGATCTTAAAATTTCTGCATTTCCAAAGGAAAAAGATGATTTATAATAAGCCATTGCAAAATTAATTTGTATTTACAGTAAATTCATAAGTTATAAATGGACGTTAAGAGATTAAGGCGCTTTTAAAAGATCTAGTAACAAAAGGCAATAATAACAATATTTATAATTTGGAAGAAGCGCATTTTAAAATGCCTGCGATTCATTGTTTGTGATTTTGAAGTATCAATTCGTCATTCATCATAAGATTTCTAATTGAATTTCAGAAACGGCCCCCTTCACCCCATAATCCTACGACTAAAATATCACCTGAAATTGCCATAACGAGACACAAAGTACAAATACTTTACTTCTACTCATTGGCCAATTCGATTAAACGGGCTAATGATGGGATGTCTCGTGACCAGAGAACCGAAGCAAATTCTATTAAGAACCGCGCGTCTATCAATTTCATCTACGCAATGCGCCTGAATGCCTTCAACCATTCACACATTAAATTCGCACGTCCGATTGCGGCTTGTTTTGCTTCGATTTTTGACCTAATTTTCGCTTTTATGCCTGTACGTTTTGCCCATTCCGCCAAAGGGGCGAGAATTGTATCTTTTCACCTCGTAAATAGAACATTATAAAACAAACGAATTAAGCTATTTGGATTAACGCGCGGATTGTTGTAATTTACAAGCAGCAGCGACATCGATTTTAAGTGATTTTTAAGAATGAAATTGCATTTTAATTGCTCGTTACGACTTTTTCTCATACGCTATATTGAAAATAAAAATATTGTATACAATTTTTCTTTTTCTCTTTATTGCTTATTATTGCTGATTGGGATACTGATTTACGAAATCAATAATTAAGAATGGTATTATTACATGTTCATTATTATATTTAATATTTTTTATTTATTATTATTTAATATTTAATATTATTTAATATTATTACATATTACAAGTTTGTACAATTTATAGATATACTTGTTGAGTTTAGTATTCCTATTGTTTGCCTAATAATAAAGTGTTGACAATTTAGTTAAGTAAAATCTCTAAATCAAATAGTCTCATTGAAAATTGAAATAAAAAAAAATTTTTTTTTTCATCGATATTAGAAATCAACAAATATTCTGTATTTCCTAATTTTTTAAAAATACTTAAGGATACAAATTTGACATACATTTTCAACATTATTATATAGAATTATATTGAATACAGTTAAAAAAATTTTTTATTTTTCAATTTCTCGAGTACATATCTTTTAAATTTAAGCTTATATTTTTATACTTGATTCGTACATAAAAGTTTTATTTATTTATTTATTTTTTGTTGTTGTTGTTTTTTTATCTTATTTCAATAGAAATATGTTCAATACACATAATTAAATATAACAACGAACATTATTTTATATATATATATATATATATTATAAGTACGATTATTTGAAATCAATTAACGTATATTTGGAATAAAAATTAATATCATGGACTTTTATTATTCATATTAATGTTCGAAAGAGTG